TGATGCCCAGCCCTCATGTATTTATAGACATTAATTAGATCCCCCCTCAGTCTTCTGCTCTCTACACTGAAAAGTCCTCCCTCAAGGGAGGTTCCCCAAGAACGCAAAAACCCCAAGAACCACCTCAAACCATTATTTTTCACAGTGTGTCTATTTATTAGCTTTTTGGTGGGGAAAGACAGGACCATTCACTCACAGGCTGACTTCTCAATTTGCCTTTGCCACTAAACAGAAATCTCTTGCCTGGTTTAGAGGAGCCAGGGCCAGGCTTCTGGGCAGCACATAACCTGCCTCCATGACCTGCCTCTGCTATACCTGCAGGGTCACTGGTTTTGATAGAGGAGATAAATCTTTGTTCCTCACAAACATTTTGGGTTTGGGTTGCAAAAGGCTGCTGAGCAAGGGGAGATATGGAGAAGGGAGCTGGTGTACTGCCCAGGTACCTGTGCAGAGCTGCAAGGCAGAGGAAGTGATACCAAAGTCCTGGAGATGTGCAGCAAGCTTTTTGGAATACTTACTATCTATGGAGGTGCCCTGCAGCTAATGCCAGGCATGTTCAGGCCCAGTACTGCATTTTTCTTCTGGAAAGAAAGAAGAGAAAAATGCAAGGAGCTTATGTTTGATCCTCACAGTAAGGAAAACTCATGGGTGGATAAGAGGATAAGGCCTTAATCAAACTTTCTCTTAAAAATATGAATGACCAAAAAAAACAAAATCCAGTGTATCATGGAATCATGGAATCACAGAATGGTTTGGGTTGGAAGGGACAGTAGAGATCATCTAGTTCCAAACCCCTGCCATGGGCAGGGTCTCACTAGACCAGGTTGCTCCAAGCCCCATCCAGCCTGGCCTTGAACACTTCCAGGGAAGAGGCATCCACAGTTTCCCTTGGCAACCTGTGCCAGTGTCTCACCACCCTCATAGTGAAGAATTTCTCCCTAATGTCTAACATTACCACTTGTCCTCTTACTCCATGCCCTTTAAAAAGTCCCTCCCCTGCTTTCCCATAGGCCCCCAGTCTTGCAGGCTGCTATGAAGTCTGAATCCCACTCAGTTGTATCCTGTCTCTTCCCCTTGTCTGGCCTCCTCGTTCACCAGAGGTAGACAGACAGGACACATGCAAAGGTAAACTGTCCTCTAGGTAATGAAGCAGGACTTTTGAAATACCTTGTTCAAATCCTAAAGCTGACATTGCTCCACTGCCCTTACCGTTAGGTGCACGATTCAGTCTTGTGCAAGCTGGTTTCTTTTCTGGTTTATGTGTCACCTTGAAAACTGGGTGGATTGTTTATGAACAGATTTGTCTATGGTACTGCCTTTGCACCTGCACTGTCTTAGATGCCACTGGAGCTCAAGTGATCTTGCATCAGTGACATTAGGTGAGAAAAAAAAAGCGCTGAGGGTTCGTTTCTAAGAGGGTAGATTAAAGTACCCTCCCACCACGCTCACAAATTATTACTGAGACCAATGTTTAGTTTGCAATTAATCAATTTATTAAGGGACAATACAAACTAAGGGATCAAGGTTCAGGAGAGGTTAACTAGGTATGTATATTGGAAAAGGAATTCAAAGGCACCAAGGTTTATGAAGGCACACTCCGAAGGAGAGGTGTAAATCAATGAAGTGAAAGGGTAGGAGTTGAGCCTAGTAAGAAAGTTAAAGTGTGTGTGTGTGTGTGTGTGTATTTACCCTCCTTCCTTGCGTAGCGCAGTTCTCGAAATGTGCTGGCAGGCTCGGCTGGAGATCTGCAGGGGGGCCTGCGTCCCAGTGACCGGGGTGACCCCTTCCTGCTGCTGGCAGGGCTCTGGTCCTGTGGCTTTGTGGGAGATGCAGGCTGGGCAGGCTTCTCCGGTTCGGTCCTGGCTGGGCAGGCAGGGCAGGGTCCCTGGGAGCGGGCACAGGCAGCGCCCCCCTCTTTGCTTCTCCTCGCAGCGGAGTGGCACTCAGGCAGGTTCAGGTGCTGCAGCGGGGTCTTGTCCCA